CATCTTTCACTGTCATCCCCATTCCGGACGTCATGATGGGTCATGCCTTCCTCATCCCTTGCCAAAGGAAAGAGGCTCGCGCCATGGATTTTGCCACCATGGTTCCCCTTGCATTGCGGAAGTATTTGGCCTGCAGCACCTGCACCCACAACTCGTCCGAATGTTTGATAAAACCCTAATCAAGTTTTGCCAGGAAGGCAAGATTAAGTTCATGTGCTTGGCGTAAACCAATACCACCCTCATGTTTTGGCCGGCAAATGCCCTCTCAATGTACTAGGTGGAGCTTTCTCCTGTCCGCTGTAGAGCTCCAGACAAAGCTCCGTACCTTTCTATCAATAGCATTACATATAGAGATCGGCAGGTACGTCGTTTGCATGGCATAAGTAGGCATCTAAGTGAGAACTAAAGTCGCCAAAGTAACACATCCCGCCAAGGAGAGAGATTCAGCACGCCACCCTGTAAATTTCTTATATAGGCGATCAAGAATGTATTTGTACGTGGCATGGGACACTTTACCGTGGATGACTGAGACACCCAAGTACCGTCCTAAATCCTGTGTAGTCTGCATGCCCAGAGATCGAGCAATCTCTATACTAGTTTGTCGGTCCGTGTTCTTGGAGAAGAACACCGCCGATTTCTCCTTGCTGATCATCTGCCCGGATGCCTAGCAGAAGCAGTCTAGGGATTTGAGGACCATGCGCCCCTGTTTCACACTCTTTTCTGCAAACAAAATCAAATCATCATAAAAAAAGAGGTGGGATAGGGAGGGTCCACCTGGAGACGTTTTGATCGGCTTCCACTCTTCGCACGAAACCGCAGCCTCAATAGTGTGGCTCAGCCTCTCCATGCAGAGGGTGAACAGGTACGGTGATAATGGACAGCCCTGGCGAAGCCCTCTCGATGGAGTGAAAGGGTCGATGTAGCTACCATTCCACATCACGTGCATGCCGGAGGAAGTGACACAGGCCATGATGACTTCGATGAAATGATCAGGGAAACCTGCGGCCACCAGAGTCTCCTGGAGAAACCGCCAACTGATGCGATCATAAGCCTTTGCCAAATCAATCTTAAGGATCATCTGGCCTCGCCTTCCCATCTTCAGCCCCATGGAGTGAACCACCTCCTGGACGATGATAATGTTATCAGTTATGTGCCTCCCGGGGACAAAACTAGTTTGGGTTGGTTGGACCAGTTCGCGCATGAGAGGCTTGATTCTGTTAACAATGCATATGGCCACTGCTTTGTAGTTCACATTGCAGAGGCCAATCGGTCTGAACTGCTGGATGGAATTTGGACTCTCCTTCTTGGGAATGAGCACGAGTAAGGTCTCATTGACTTGCTGTAAGAGAGAAGGGTCACGAAAACAGTCTGTCGTGAATTTAGATATCGAGTCCCCCACCCTCGTCCAGCATTTTTGATAAAAGAGAGGGTGGTAGCCATCATTACCCCGGGATTTGAAACCCCCCATTCCCTTGATCGCACACCAAACCTCCTCCCGCAAAAGGTCCCGAACCAGCAGACATTTCACACTGTCCTCAAGCTGGCGGAAGGCACTCGGCAACCACGGTGCAACCCCCTCCTCCGCCTGGAATAAGTCCTGGTAGTACTCTCGTGCCATTACTTTTAGTAGGTCTTCATCGTCAACCCAAACGCCCTCTACATTACAGAGAGAAGCAATTTTATTAAACCGACGTCGTTTAAGGGTTGATAGATAAAAGTATCGCGTGTTGCAATCGCCTTGGGTAATCCACATACACCGCGATTTCTGGAACAAAAAAAATTGCTCTTGCCACAGAGTATTTTCTAGCTCTTGATGAACAGCATCCTCCCTTGCGCGAGAGGCCTCAGAGGCCGCGCGTTCGTTGCGCTCCTCTAGGCATTTGAGTTGCCGCACTAATTCCTTTTTCCGGAAGATAATGTTACCAAAGGTCTCCTTGTTCCACACCTTTAGAGCTTCCGTGAGAGATTCAATGGAGTTGGAAAGCATGGCGTGAGTTTTCCAGGCATCCGCAAGAACCCTGTCAAAATCCTCATGGCTGAGCCAAGCCGCAAGGAACCGAAAGGGACGAGGCTCTCGACTTCGTTGGTCGTTTGAATGGCTACAGATGGGGATGGGTCTGTGGTCGGACCCAATCCTCTCCAGATGATGGTTAATCGAATCTGGATACTTGAGCATCCATTTGCGGTTACAAATTGCCCATTCCAGTCGTTGAGACAGCTCTCCTCTCCTCCAAGTAAACCGCGGTCCAGTGAAACCCACCTCAAGTAAACTACCATCGTTCAAGCAATCACGAAAAGGTCTAACTCAAGCCTCTTGGTATGACCCCTCCCATGCGGTCATTAGGTCCCAGGATCGAGTTGAAATCCCCTACCAGAATCCATGGCTCCTGAACGATAGAGGAGAGTTCAATGATGCGGTCCCAAAGAACCTGGCGCCTGGCTAAATTGGGGCTACCATAGACCGCTAAGACACCACACTGCTCCCCCGACTCCATGTCTCCTACAGGAGAAGAGGATCATTTGCTCCCATTTCTCTAGCTCAGTGATCTCCAGATCATGATCATTCCACAGAACCCAAATCCCACCTGCAAAGCCAATAGCATCCACAAACAGCTTACCATCAAATCTCGTGTTAGAAATAACCCGGTGAGTCGTGTCCCCACTAATTTGAGGCTCAACAATGATTACGATATCCAGCCTAGATGGCCCAAAAACGACTTAAGGAAGGTAACAAATTTATCATGACCTGCCGCCTGGCAGTTCCAAGCAAGGATGTTAAACATAGAAAGGGAAAGGAAATAGAAAGGAAGAGGGAAGAAACTCCCTGACAGCCAGCGTGGAGCTGGGAACCTAGTTTGAGGAATCGCCGGTCTGGTGGCCTCCTGTGCCCTTCAGCACCCGCATATCCTTGCCCCCACTCTCCAAGGTCCGAACGCCCTCGACACCCGGTTTAGGAGCAATCTAGTTACTTGCATTCGGCAGTGAGGTATCGCCGAATTCGCCTGCAAAAGGCGGACTCAGGCTCGCCTTGCCCTGCTTCCCAGGTTTCTTACTGTGTTTGAGAGGTATGCCGTCAGGGTCATGCTGGGGCCCCTTACCTGATTGTCGGGGCTTCGTGGAAGTGGGAGCTTGGGCCCGTAGCGCCACTTTAGCCTTAGAAAGTGGTTGGCTCTGCTGGACTGGGATTGTGACTAGGTTGATGTCTGGGGCATGCAGGCCATGCATGTCACTAGCCGGTACAGGGTTGGCATTTGCAGCCAAGGGGGTCGAAACACTGCGGGACAAAGGACATTGCTCCGTGGAGAAAGGATTCGTAGTAGTGCTTGGCTGACTTGCCACCACATTCTCTGGAACCTCTTCCGGAATAGTTGATTCCTCTTGCATTTCATCTGTCTCCTCCACTAGGACCGCAAAACGCGAGCCTTCCGTATCACCATTGGTAACATTCACCGGAGCTTTGGAATTGGAGGGTGGAGTCTTCTTGTTGCGTTGCTTAGACTTGGATTTCGCCACCATCAATTCTCCATAAGTCTTGGAGGAAGGCTGGCTTCCTCCACCATCGTGTTCTGTAGCCGCTACAGCAGTTGGGGCGGCCTTAAAGATGGACGGGCGCGTAGCATGTGCATGGTCATAACGGCTGCATTCGGAAAAGATCTTGAACAGGCCTTCATATTCAATATAATAGGTGACGCCTTCAATTTTGAATTGAGAGATAAGAGGTTTTGTGAGATCCACCTCCACACAAACCCGAGCAAAACGACCCATGGTCCCGTCCTGCGTGGCTCGATCGACCTTGATCGGTCCCCCCATTCTCGAAGCAATTTGTTCCGCCGCCTCCCGATTGTCAAACTCGATCGGCAAACCGGGAAATCATGCACATACCATGGTGGAGGCGACCTCTGCTGTCTTTGGGTCGAAACCTCATCTCCATGGTAGTACCGTCAGATAATGGCCACCAATCATCCAAGGGTCGCTAGCTGCCGCCTGTTCATAGTCCATCTGGCTAGTGAAACGTACGACATAGAAGCCCCATGAGAGACTAGAGACTTGGAGATTTTCACACTTGGCCCAGATCTTCTCCAGGCGTTGAGCAATGACGTGAAAGGGGAACGTTCGTCCCATCACCTTCACAATAAGGTTTGATCGCCATTTGCGTCGAAAGCGTTATTTTTAAATGGCCTTAAAGGGGATGGTGGAACACTGCGGGTCATCATCCTCCGGGATCTCATCATCCAAATCATCCTCTCGCATTGCTGCAGAGACGTCTTCGGAGTTGGACTCCGCAACATACCAATCATCCTCTGTATGAAGGTCGCTGAAAAGCTTTTGCGTCCCCGCCGACCAGGCTGAGGCCGCGAGCCCTTTAGCAAGACCGTGGGGGTGGGGGGGGGGGGGAATCAGGATCTTGAGGTCGAGACGCAGCTCGAACTTTGTCATCACCCTCCGCCATAAGAGAGGGTTCGAAGAGGGGGTTGGCACTCATTGGCTTCGCCCTCTTCTTGGCTTGTTGAGCCTCCCTATCGTTCTTGCCATTTGGAGATGAAGCCCCTAAAGGGGGAAGGTAGGAACCATCAGCAGAGTCAGGCAGGTGGTGGTCCGAGGGAGCGTTCCCCGAAGCGACGACGCTCATTGGCCAATTAGAATCGCAAGTGCAGGGAAATCGCCGCTCCGGTTATTGCGGAGCTAGGGTTTCTTCAGTTTTCCAACCTTTAATAATTAATTGGAAGAAGTTGGTTAATTGTCGTAGGATTGCAAAAAAAAGACATTGGAATTGTAAAATTGAAATGTTGTTTATTAGAAGAATAAAACGCAATAGCAGCGAGCGGCCTTTAGGGAAAAGGAATTGATGAATAGAAAAATTCATCCTTCCGTACTATACGCGCATCATAGGAAATCTAGAATGGAATAGGTTTTGGAAGAGAACCTCCTTATATAATTAGGAGAAATCCATACGATATGATAAATGAGTTCGTTGCAATAACTAAAATTTTAAGGAGATGTCCAATGATAGAATTTTATTTTATGTTTATCCACTCTCAAATATGGATGACAATTAAGGATTTGTTGGTTTACCTGGAGAGAACGATTAGAGAATTTCCCGAAAATTCCAGCTTCTTTCTTTCTTATTTGTATTACATATATGGTCAACATATAAGTAATTAGTTATTACATTGCTTATTACTACCGCTTATAATCTAAATCATTTTTCCCCTCTCAACATTCATAAGCACAAAAGCATTGTCGAGGAACACCAGGAGCAGTGCCGAGGTCACACAATCCTTGTCCACCATAACGACTCTTGCATTCGTTCCAACATTGATCGTCGCCGCCACTACAGTCCCATAGAGCTGAGCAGTGTTTAGCTTCCACCGTCATCTTTGCTCCACCTTAATCATTAGCATGCATATAAAATTAATTAAGTGTTCATAAATAAAGAAATAAATTATTATACAACATAACTAATTAAAAAATGAAATGAATTGGAGCGAGTAGGAAAGAAATGAAGAAACAGAAAATCATGATGAAATTCACTTAATAATTTGAAAATATTTTACCCGAGAAGGCAAAGAACAGAAGGGCTAACATGAAGTACATTGCGGAAGACTTAGCCATGTCTCTCTTGAAATCTTAAGAAAAATGAAGCAACCTTATATTTTTAGTTTGTCTTCTCAAATGTTTGATTGTCTTGGTATTTGGATCTACTATTTGTAAGAAGAATTTGTTTGATGATAAGACCCTCAATGAAAATATTAGCATGTAAGGGGAAATAACTTGCCTTTTTAATTTTCTTAAAATAGATTAAAAAAACCTTATATGGCCAATGCATATCTATACTTAAATGGAATCACATCTTATTTTAGTTGTGGTTGGTAAGGAAAGGTACGTAGAAATGTACAATGCATATCTATCTCGATATATGTGCAATCTTATATCGAAATGCAAACGAATATGAGTATACGCCCAAATTGGAAATTTGTGGATGGTTACTGGGCATGTAGGATACAAGTTTTAGAAAACCCTTAGAGTCCTTACACCATGAGGAAAAACCAAACCAAAGCAAAACCAATCTTAGATTTTTTTTTTTTTTTTTGTTAAGGGTGATATAATATTATTAAGGAGCAAAAATAAGGACACAGAGCAACAAGGAAATACAAGGGAGAAATGGAGGAGCAACAGAACAGGAAATCGCCATAGTGCCATTAACAAAAGAACCCCAACTAACAGTGCTAAGGGGCGGCACTCAAGCTACAACACAAGCAAAGTCTAAATGGGGAATAGCCTGCGTTTCAGTTCTATAAGCCAAGTCAACACCATTCGGTGATCAACCTTTTTTGCTGCAGATAGCCACCAGAAAAAGTCATTTCCAATCTTGTAGACAATTTGGCGAGCCGTCGCTTCTGTATCATCAAAGATTCTCCTGTTTATTTCTAACCAAATCGCCCAGCAAATGACATGAATCGCGACCCTCGAACACCATTGTCTTGAATCCTTCGAATCCCCATGGCGCAATTGTCTGATTCTTTCGGCGATATCCTCCACGTTGGTAGCGATTCCATTGATCTTAATAAAACACTTCAGAATGTTCGACACTTCAATGGAGAACTTGCATTTGATGAAAATATGATCTTCCGATTTTTCTTCTTCTTTGCACAAAGCGCATCGGTTGGGTAGGCTAAATACCTTCTTCTTTAGGTTATCGAGGGTGAGGATTCTCATATAAAAGACTAGCCACAGGAAGATGCAGATTTTGCTCGGCACTATAGCTTGCCAGACCACCTTCGCCGGAAAGTCACCGCTGCTTTGGAATCTTGTCGAAGTGAGCTGCTCGTAAGCCGAGTGAACAGTAAAGCCAGCCTTCGGCTTTGGAACCCAAACAATTCTATCAGGACCTGCAACAAAAGAAAAAGAAGGAAGGGAAGCCAAAAGCTCATCTAAACTCACACGCTCTCTCTCAGCCCCACCCCGAAGTAAAAAATTTGAGAGGAATTTCCCACTGGGTAACAACATCCTGAGCAACCAGATGCTCAGCGAATCTAGAGCTTGGAGACTCCGCTGCTGCCGTCTGCCAATCGGGTACGTCTGATCCAAGTGTCGAACCAGAAAGAAGTCCAGTAACCAGCCCCATTATCGATGACAACCAATTTCCAGAAGTCCTTCTGAAGTTTCATAATTTGTTGCCAAATGCCACTACCCGACCTCTCCTGGCGATCCCCAGCCACCCAATCTGAGACAGGATTAGGGTATTTTGTTGCAATAAACTCCCTCCACCAGCTGCCTCTCTCTTCCGCAAACCGCCACTTCTATTTATGGAGAAGCGACTGATTATGGATCTCTAAGTACCGAATACCAAGCCCTCCTCGACTTCTACCAATTTTGCAAAGATCCCACGAAACTACGTGAAACCTGGATCTGTCTTGTGTCCCAAACCACAGGAAGTCCCGCTGCAGTTTCTCCAGAGCATTCAGGATGTTTTTGGGGGCACGGAAGAGCGAGCACATGTAGGTGCATTGGCTAGATAACACCGCATTTATCATCACAACTCTGCCCCCGATCGAGAGTAGGTTACATTTCCAGCTGTCGAGTCTGGTCTGCGTCCTGGCAATGATGGGGTTCCAAATAGCTGAGGACGGAGTATGGACCCCCAAAGGCAATCCAAGGTACGTCGCCGGAAGATAGATCCAATCACACCCGAAGATCTTTGCCAGCCTGTGCAAGTTCTCAACCTCTCCAACCGGGGAGATCCTTGATTTCTCTAAGTTGACCTTCAATCCTGTGATTCCCTCAAAGTAAACAAGAGCAGCCAGAACACTTCGGACCTGAGATTCACTGGCCTCGTAGAACACAATTGCATCATCCACATATAACAGGTGTGTAACTTCCCCTTGGCAGTTCGATTCATCATCACAAAATCTAGCAAAGTGGCCAGCAGCACTAACTTTGCAGAGGATAAATGAGAGAAGGTCCATTCCCACATTCAATAGGAAAGGAGAAATGGAGTCGCCCTGTTTGAGACCCCTTTGCATTCCAAAGAACCCAGCAGAGTTGCTATTGACCAGGACGGATAACTTCGATGAAGAAACGAGGCCCTCAAGCCATTTCAAGAACCTATGATGCAACCCCATGGATTTCAGTGCCTTGAAGATGCTTTCCCATCGTATAGAGTCAAAGGCCTTCTCTATATCAAGCTTTATGACAAGACCGGGCTTTCCACTTCGTCTACGACTATCGATTGCTTCATTGTCGATTAAATAGGATTCTTGTATCACTCGACCTCTTTTCCCACCAATCTTAGATTTCTTAATATATTGTTATTTTTACTATATGGTATAATGGCTTGTATACTCCATTTGATCTAGCCGTTAGATGTACTTGGATGAGCTCTAACCAATCTCAACTGTCAATTATAATTTTTCATTAAATTGAACTTCAGGTTTGGGTTTAGAGAATCGGGGGTTGGGGTTTATCCATTTGAGGTTAGGGTATAGTATCATACCTCAAACTCGGTTTAATTCATGATCTATATAGAGATATCTCACTAGAAGTACCTGGAGTATAGTATACTTCAGAAGTAAACCGGTCTGACCCTTCACTAAGAGTACCTGGAGTATATATTTTTCTTATTTTAGGGCGATCAAGACTAACACAATTGTAATCGAAGAATTTAAATCTTGACATGCTGATGACTACTATTCTGGAGTCTGACTAGATTGAAACACGTTTGTAGCCCGCATCCCATGCTATCTCCAGACTTCTTATGACAATCTATAGTTCCGTACGAGTGATAATACATTTTTCCAAATTCATTGTGTAAAGCTAGCTAGCTTTTCACGACTATTTTTTGTGGATTGGGAAATATGAGGATTCGATAAAGCAAGAAAATGAAAGCATGAACAAACACACGACACACAATTAAGGCAATTCACTACTTTGAGGAGATACAGATTATGAGAAGTATTTATAGTACTTCGTGGTCTAACCCTAATTCAATCTGATAAAGGAAAAACATCCCATTAGGGGAAAGCACCTGATTGAGATCCATGTGACATCCCATCGTAGCCAAAAAGTCAAATTCAAGTCACATCAATATATGTATTTTGTATGATTCAAGTCACATCAATTGCCCAAAATCGTCTAATATAAAAGGACCTCATTTTAACGTCCCTACTTTTCTACCAAATAAAAAGAATGTTGGACAAAACTACACCGGCCAATTTTTTTTTTTTTTTTTGACAAAGATGTTGCGTGTATTTCACTTGGAAAGAACACGGTTACAAAGAAGAGGAAAACCCCTGATTCAGCTTCAAGAAAGAAAACCCCAAACAAGAAAGAAAACCCAAACCAACCAGTAAAGAACATCAAACATCCAGAGAGCACCTACAAGGAAAGCAAAAGCCAAAAAAAGACAGAAGGCAACACAACAAGAACAGAAACAACAAGGGGATCCTTCCATGAGCCAAATCACAGGAATCAGCAAACTTTGTAATAACATCAACTTAAGTGGAACACAGCAGCTTCAGCTCACCCAAAACCAGTCTTGACCATGATAAAGGGCATTGCTAAATCATATGCCGCTTGCTGGGGGTTGTTCAAAGACACCCATCACAGTGAATCACCGATTAGGGATTGCGCGACGGTGGAAAGGACTGTGAACGGGCTGCTCAATGCTGAAAACAAGGCCAACGAGACCGGAGCAGAGAGAGCCATGAAAAAGTAGTGTGAGATTCACCCAAGGGTTGAAAGACAACCACACAAAAGCAGAACCGAGAAGAGAAACCACCTGCAAAACCAAACGCCAACAGAGAACCACCAAAACAAACCCAATCCCAGAACCCAAAGAAGCAGCCCCAGTAGCACTTACACTCCCAACAACACACAAAATCTGTAACAAACAAAACCCTGTATGAATCTCAAAACTACTGCAACCAACGTTCACATGCCTCAGCAATCGAAGGAGACATCGCTTCCACTACATTCAGTCGAAGCATCGAGGATTGACGACGGATGGGGAATCGGTGAATGCAATCACCCTTAAGGATGAGAAGATGACCACACCAAGTTTGGATAGAAACCCAATCTGCATCCTCTGAACCCAGAACAGAGCAGAGCCAAACCAGATCTAGAAGATCTATTGAAGAAACCGGACAAATCCTCCTCCTAATGAGAGGAATGTGGAAAGAACCATTTAGGGAACGAGAAAAGCCACAACGGCTGGAAAATGCCACAACGGCTGGAAAATGCCATAGATGGCAAGGAAAGACAAGAAAACACAGAGGAAGAGGACGGGGAGCACGAAAGGAAAGCGAAAACGAAAATGAGGATTGGGCTACCGCCGGTCACCAAGATGTGCCGGCGGCAGCCCTGGGAGACTGGAAAAATAGAGAGAGTAGGGAAATTTGAAACTAGAGAGAAAGGGACTTTTTTTCCTCGCTCTTGAATTCAATGATGGAAAGTCCACCGGCCGATAAGCCGGGTCATATGCTAGTAAAATAAGTTGGTTGTACGTACGTACCTTGGGTTACTACTGGGAGAAAGTTACTGCTCCTTTCATCACCGGCTTGTTGGTGATTGGAGAACTATAACCTAATTGTCTCGCGTTCATTTTTGTGCGTCATGATTATTGAGTGCCTTGTTTTCGACGTGTCACAAAACGTAGTAGAGTCAAGAGTGCATGTTCGGAAGAAAAACAAAGTAACATAGTTGCTATTAATCCTTTTAGTTATTACAATGTTGAAACGATGATTAACTTTGCATATATTTCTCCCATGTTTCATCAAGGGAAAACATACTAGACCCAAA